TAATAATGCTAAGGAAATAGTTAATCTTAAAACTGTTGAGCATAGGCTTTTCAGTAGAACATTTTACAGTTTTAGACATCCTGTTTTGCAAAAATGACATATTTTAATGTTGAACGTGTCAAGTCTCAAGAACGAAAGTATGAGGACAGTGGAAATCTGTGATATTTCACACAAAACAAAAGGAGTTGTTGATAAAACTAAAAGGTATTTGGAGAAAGGCTGATGAGAAGTCGTAACTACTACATACAGCATATGCAATTTATTGGGATCCGCACCCCATTTTGTGTGGCGTGTGCTGTATCTGTGTACTTGAAAATTCATTAATAAAAACTATAAATATTAATATTCTATAACAAGAATCTTCGATAGATATTTAAAAGAATAAACAATAAAATATATTCATATTGGCATTAACATAATGTGAAAGTTTTGTGTAAGAAGGGCGTTATGTAGATATTTTCAATAATAAGAAATAAAAAATAAAATCCGCCCACCCGCCCCAATTTTTTAGCAAATTAGGATGAGAATCTAAATTTTAAATTTATGTGGCCTAAGGAGTAAGTTTTGTATTGTTTCACTTAAATTTATATCTAACTTGACAGTTTTTGTCTTATAGTATAATGCAATATTTCTTATTCTGTTTAAATTCTGCAACTGTATTGTTTTGTATAATCGCGCATTTTCAGCCTACGATAGGCATAGGCCTGTTTAGCTTACATGTCCAAGTTACACATTTAAATTTGTATAATTGTTTTGGATATTGATATTTTGTCAAACTCTTATTATGATTTTGTACTTTGAAGTTTTTCACCCTCTCGCGAGGATTGGCTAATAAACAGTACAATCTATACAGATGTTTTGCACTCTTCCTACATGCATAGGAATCTCAAGTAAGTTTTCCAAAGTCTATCAATGGATAAGTTCATTGGTTACTTATGAAAGGTGACACGGGTTGACCCTTCATCAGTGACATTTACTCTTGGTTCTGGTATTACAGTGATCTGACTACTCTGACTTAATTTAACAACAATTTTGCTTATATATAGTTTTAAATTATAACTTTATTTGATAGCACATACTAAAGTAATGGTGATATTAGTTTTGTTATTAATTCTCTGGCTGTTTTTGATAACCCTATTCCCTAATAATACCTGTACAGAATAAATTTAACCACAACTTCTCTTTCTTTTATAGAAAGATGGATGATACATATATTACAAGCTATCTGGATTGCAGTTACTGGTGTAATCTATAAAATTTTGCAATATGTCATGTAGGAAATGTAGTATTATAAAAATGTTTATAACTTTTCCAACATTCACCTGGCTATTAAAATGCAGGTAGGTTAAATAGCTACTGTATATTCCTTATTTTACGCGAGTACTTAATATCGCGAAATGGCCCAAGGGCGTCAAATGGCGAGAAAAATAATTCACGACTCGGTGATTTACCTAGAAATTTTACATACATTAAAGCACCATGAAATAAAAGCGAGTAATTTTATTTTGCGAGTGGTGCTTCTCGCGTAAATACGCGATAATTTATTCCTTGCGTATATTTAGGAATCTACAGTATACTTTATAAAATATTCCCAAAATTGAGAAAAGTATATCAAATTGAATATGTCACTTTAAAAAGCTGTATTTAAGTACCACTGATATGTTTATGCTATTGAAGTTCTATTTGATGCATAAGGTTAAAAACAACGGTAACCTGAGTATAATACAATAACTTAGAGGATCCATAGAATATAAAATAAAATGGTAGATGAAGCTTTGTTGGCCAAAAGCAAGAGAAATAGGATGATCAGGATCAATGAAATAATTAGTCTAATATTTAGTAACAACTCATAAATTAAATTCTAATCTATCCCTCATTTAGCACTATCACCATGCAGACTGTTATCAAACTATTGGTGATTCTGTACAATTGTAATCTCTCACATTGGCCTCTCTTGATCTTTGAAGAACATATTAATAAGTTACTTTTGTCTCATTTTTATTATTCTATTATTTACAAGTCTAGCTGATCATTAAAACTATGAAAGTAGTTTTTGTATTATACAATAAAATTTTTTGCACAATTCTCTTATTCTATTAACTTTTCAAATACATTATTTATAGTGATTAATTATCAAATTAAAGTGAATTGCAAAGGGGAATAACTTCTCTCAGTAGAATAAATAATAAATAGAGCCCTGCCCAGGACCAGAACACTTGACCAAATGGTCCAGATGTTCAGAAATCTGGTAAAAACACCCCTGCTTATTAAAACTTTTACTTCGTTTGCCTTTGATATGCCAAGGAGCAGAGAAGATTTTCAAAGAAATAATGCATTTTCACTACATGTACCATGACTACAGATTCAACACAGCTCTACCCTAACACCAATACCCATGATCCAGGGTCATGCATTTCACAAATTTGGAAGAGGTACTCTCATCATCATAACTCTGCACTTATTTGAAGATTTTCAAAGAATTAACACATTTTCACTAAAGGCAAAACTATGGAAAAAGTATCCAAATTCACAGAAAACTCCTAACTGTATTTGTACAGTAAATAAAAAAAAACACTCTCTCAATATGGAAGAATATCTTATGCTTGAAAATAGTTTCAAGAATAGACAATTGCTAACTAAGTTTCGAACGAGTGACCACTGCCTACTGATTGAAACTGGTACACATAAGAAAATACCTCGACAACAAAGATTATGCACTTCATGTAATGCTGTTGATGATGAATTTCATTTCTTTTTACAATGTAATTTGAATATACAAGCAAGGAATATACTTATAAAAACCATGTTAGATAATTGTTCCTCATTCTATCTCAAATCACCCATACAGAAACTTGAATATATACCGAGTCCAACAATTGAAGTTATACCAGCTGTTTGCACTTTTAAAAAACAATCATTAGAATTAAGAAATAAAAGGTCCACATCGGTGTAACATATAAGGAGTAAATTACTTAAATTGTGCCTATTGTATAAATACATTCATTGTTCTTTGTTTTTTTTATTATATGAATTGTATTGCTTGACCCATATGGGTGTATTATGCAATAAAGAATTATTATATTATTACTATACTACCCCCCCCCCCCCAAATGAGAAAAACAAAATCCCCTCGCCCTGGGACCACAAAGTTTTAAAAATTTTGTAAGAAGTACTATACACTTAACAGAATAAATGCATTTTCACTACATAATTAAAGAGCCCACCCTAACACCAGAACTCCTGACCCAGGGGCCATGGAATTCAAAATTTTGGAAGAGACACTCTTGCTCATCATAACTATATACTTAGCTAGTTTATTTAATACCCAGGAGCAGAGAAGATTTTCAAAGAATTAATCCATTTTCACTATATAATCAATAGAGCCCCACCCTGACACCAGAACCCCTGACCCAGGGGCCATGAAATTCAAAATTTTGGAAGAGGCACTCTTGCTAGGAGCCATGAAATTCACAATTTTGGTAGAGGGCTCACTGCTTATTACAATCATGCAAACAGTTTGACTGCTTGATGTCCAGGAGTGAAGAAGAAGATTTTTAAAGATTGCATTAATTTTGGTGGTTTTAGCCCCACCCCTCAGGCCCCGGGGGGGGGGGGGGGGGGGGGGACCCTGAAATTCACAATTTTTGTTCCCCTTCACCCATAGATGCTATATGCAAAAATTGGTTGAAATTGGTTAAGCAGTTTCAGAGAAGAAGCTGAAAATGTTCAAATGTTAACGCACAACGTACGACGACGGACAAAAACGGATAGCAATAGGTCACCTGAGTGACTCAGGTGACTTAAAAATTCGAAACTATTTTTATATCTGTGGCAAGTGAAAACTGTTTAGGCCATGTTCTGGGTTTTGTTTTCTAGTATACATGGTATATGCAATTCATTTAGAAGAACTTGTTGAAACTAATGAAAGCTTACATTTTATATCAGGTTTGAAAATTTATGACACTTCTTTGTTATAGCTGCAGTTGGGATGGATGACCAGAGAGCTACAGTGCCACCCATAGAAAAGAAACTGTATTTATATTGCAAACAAAAAGTTGTGCTCGGTTCTGTATTAATTTCTCAAAATTCTTTACCTCAACTGCACAAAAGTTTGATTTTCAAAAGATTGCTTCAAATTAATCTCTATCATAGTGGACATCTGCACGAAGCGTCTTGGATTGAATTATATTTTGCCACCCACTATGGCAGTATAAATTGATGATTTTTTTTTATTCACGTCTCAGGGGAACTTAGAATATTCACAACGGTTATGAGGAATGTTTTGTTGTGGAAACAGTAAAAGAATATGTTAAGAACACATGGATAGTAATATTTTCAGATGGCAGTTTGAAAAACACAAATAAATAGGAGGAAAAAAACAGTGCACTTTCTGAGTGCAATAAATACAAACTTTTTTTCAATGGGGGCACTGTAGCTCTCCAGTCTGTCAATATATTTTTTGATGGAGAGCTACAGTTCTCCAGCTGCTTCTTAGTTTACTTTCTACAGCTGAAGTTTCAGACGTTTTGTCAGTGTAAATTTACATTACATACTGTAAGAACATTGATGAAGTCAGATTTCCCAATTTAGAAAAAAAAAATTAACCAGCTCAAAAGGAGATATGCCACCCATTCATGGATCCCCCTGAATTAGGGGTCGCTGAATTAGCACCCTCCATTATATACTGTATGTGTTTATATTTCTGTCACACACAGCACCTAAACCAAGTTCCGAAAACTGTACACGGTTTTACGGACTTCAGTTTAGGTAATAGTTTAGGTTCTAAACATATGGAAAAAGCACTAGAATTAGAAAATTTATCAGCAAAGATTAAGTTAATAAAATTCACTCGACAAAGCCATGAGTTAACGTTATCTGATTATAGTGCTCAATCGAGTGAATTTTACCAGCTTTGTTGATAAATTAAAAATTTCAAATTCCGGTGGGGAAAAGCAGAAACATAAAGTTAATTACGTCTCCGGCAAAAGTGATAAACTTACATCCACGTTATGTCGCCTTCTCAGCTCAGACATTTTTAGTAGCCTACTTGCATTACATAAATTATCATTACGCACTTTTTCATCGAACGACATAGGAGGGTATCCAGTCAACTCGTACCCAAACCGACTCGTACCCAAACCCAGAGTCACCCAAAGCTTAAATGTCAAAAATTAAATCATAAAAAGAAACAATTAATTGTTTTCAAGGGTAAATATATAAGTTCGTATGATTCTTGTATTTTATCTCTTAATGTATATTGTTAATGACTATATAAATAGTTCTATTTTCTCTGATTTTGTCACACTAGGCCTAGTGACTGTAAATCCATAGGTGTTGCTAAAACGCGGAACGGAAAACAGAAAGGAACGGAAAACGGAAAGAAAATATAAATGTGCGGGGAAAAAAAAAATTAGTTACATCTGAAAAGTTCATTCACGTGTATTTGCGACTTTTTAAAAAGATATTCTGAACCCAGTTCATAAATTATAATTACTTAATACCTAACATATCAGCAATTTACATGTATTACATACACCGAAATCTAAAAAATATATTCCTTTGTATTGATTTATAAACCTTTTCACAAAATATCTTATACCAGCAAGTAAGACATTTTTTTCCAGGTCTCTAAGAACTATCTAAATTATCCTAAACTGTAAAATTCATATAGTATTCTTACACTGCAATACATTCTTTATGGCGAGCGCAGCGGGCGGCGCGAAGCGCCGCTCGTCACTGCGAGCTCTAACGACAACGCCTGGGCGAAGAGAAAATTCGGACTACTGCACATTCATTCAATAGAATTTTTTTCCGTAGTAATTCTGACCCACAATGCATCGCTTCTTGTTCTCGCTGCTAACTTCGTTCACGCGGTGACAACAACTAAAAATTCACACAAAATAAACTCACCTTAAGGGTTTGGTTTTGTGTGCAGCCAAGTGAGACTCACTAAAAATAAAAACCTTAATATCTCAAAAATTAAGCCTTGCTTACACTTGAAAACTGGTCCATGTCATCTTCATAATGAAAACAATCTCTGGGTATATGCAGCTTAATTGACACTTGCAGCAGTTTGCAGCTATGAAGTGCACAATACACCTGCAGGACTGCACAGCCACAGGTTTTAGTAGTGCACCAAAAAATCCAAAAAAATATGAAATAGTTAAAACAATTAAGTGGCTACAACTATTTGTGAAGAACCTTTGATTTAAATGTAAACTCACTACAATAGGTACATTTCTTTAAATGCATACTTGTTAGTTAAACAAGAAAATGTTAGCCATGAAAGTAGTCCCAACCACATGGCAATGTGTTAAAAATAGAATTAAAGAGACTCAGTTTTGATCTAAAAATAGCACTTTATATGAAAGCCCAGATGTATCTAAAATATTACTCTATGGTGTGTACAAAACACAGGGAAATTAATGTTAGAAAAATGATTTTCTTCTTAAAAAGTATGCCAAATAAGATGTTAAAAATCTGCAGGGATAATGGAAGTGGGCAATTTAAATAAGAGGCCTGGCCCACAACATTCACTTGAGTCACCTTGGTGTTCTTCAGATTTCTAAGACATTCTTATCCCCCTTAATTCTCATAAAAACAAATCTGAGCTAATACTGTGGCCCCACCCTGGGCCATAAGGCCATGTCTAATCCAAAACTGATTCCACAACAAGAGGATATTTCATTATCAATATGGCTAACATGGCTTATATGTTTTCTAAAGTTTTTTTTTTCACATTTATACATGCATTTACCAATTTATATGTAAAATCTGATCTCAGATTTATTTGAAGAAAAAAAATGAAAAAAAAATACAAATAGGGAATATTTTAATATTATTATAATAATAAGTCAGGCAAATGATTTTGACCAACTTGAATCTTCACTTCTTGAGGATGCTTGCATACATTATGAGTAAATCATTACCTTGTTGTTCATTAAAGGACAATTTTTTCCTATCTATTCCCATGTCAAACTTTGATACCCCTATTTTAGGGTTTAATTTTTATGGATGACAGATGGACAGACACCAGAGACTCTTTGATCAGAAAAAGTTCAACAGAGCCTCTGCTCAGATGAGCTAAAATGTAAATGTCTTTGATTATTGTAAAAAAAGTCACCAAGAAGAACAAAAGAAAAGGATGATAAATGAACTTTTTTTTTAATTCTTAATCACTTCCAGGATATTATATTTCTTTTAACATGTTAACCAGTATATGCAAGTTTGACTATTTTTTTGTGAAACTTTCTTTAAAGATATAAGGTATAATTTTATAAATAAGCTTCAATTCTAACAATATAACTCTAATATAACTCTCTAAGATATTTGAGACCTGTGTTCTTAGCATGGGTTAGATAAAACACTAAAACACTAAACACAATAATATCCTGTATCAAGATCCCAAAATGTTCTTCATTGTAAACTCGTGGAAAGTTCAAATATGTATTTTTGTTTGGTCATCATATTTTCTTTTTCAATGATGTTTGGAAAGTTCAAAGCATTTGTTCATACAACCATGGAATCAAAAATATTAACTTTCTTTAGTCATATCATATGAAACTTAATCACAGTCTTCACATGTTGCTGATATTTTCTCCAACACTGCTTTCCAAAAGATTAACTGTTGAGACAAACCAAGATGGACCAAAACCTCTGTCATTTGAATGATCTCCTTAACTTTGAAATCTGTAAAATATTAAATATAAATAATTTATAATATACCACTAAAAAAACAATACTGTTGATCACTCTCAAAGAGGGAACTTGAATTGAAAGTTAAATCTTTACATCATGACTAAGTAAAAAGCATGCAAAGACAGACATGTAAATTTCAGGGTCAAAGGCTACACATCCCTCAGCAATGATGGTCACATTGTAAATGTTGGTTAACACTGATTGTTGGACTGAATATATCTTATTTTAATTTACAATTAGTGTAGATCAGAGTAGTTTAATCCATATAGAGATATATGAGTCTAATCTGTATACAAAGAGATCAACCATAAATAAGATCAATTAAGGTAAACCCAAGTGATGGTCATGTCATCTTGCCTTGGGAAGTAGATGAGACAAGCATATAAGATCATAATTAAATAAAGCAAACAAGTACAAAATCTGAAGGTTAAATGACAAGGTAAGGATTTGATGGCAGAATTTTAAAAACCTGATATGATGACATGTGTGTTAGTAAGCTACAAGAAGATGATCAGAAACAGTTCCTTCCAAAAGAGATTGAAGTTTTCAATTATTTAAAAATAACCTCTGATGTGACTTCTTTTTTCAGTCACTGTTTACCTAACATTTGTTTTTTTATCGTTAAAGTCAACTGCAATATAAACAATTACTTTTATTGGGTTATAACGTGACATCACACATAAGGTTTGATTATTCATGATAACGATACTTAATTCGCTCAAGCAGCCTCGGGTAGGAGAGAGCTGTAGGCGGACTCCAACCATGGCTTGAGACAATGTGATGGACACATACACAACATTCACTCAAACAAAATCTTTCTTTTCATCCAACCGCATATATATTTCTCATCATAAAAATTGTACATTCTTTCATTCTGTACACATGTATAGAATAACATCTGAATCCAATCATACAAAATGAAATGACTAGTCAGCTCACTGTGATTATAACACCTACCTAATACCCTTATACACATGTCTATTAAATTTACAGAATCATTCCATTGTGATAAAAAACTTACTTTACAGGGGAGGTTTTTGGGAGGGCTCCAACACAGGTATCACATGATTATGAAATGCAGAAATTGACAGTCCAGAGAAAATATCTGAACAGTGTTCTTTTTTGTGAAACAAGGCATTCTGTAAACATGGTAAACATAGTTATAATAAATTTTAGGAAAAAAGTTCAAAAACAATTCTTTTAAGTCTAGATATTAATATTAATCTTTGTTGAACATGTTGAAGGGTGTCAGTGTTTTAACTGAATGGTATTTATTTCCTGAAACTGTGTCCGTTAAAACTTTTGTTCTATGAGACATTATAAGAATAGAGTTTTGCTTCCATCTCTCAAAATTATGTGAATTTGAATTTGATTATTGTTTGTTATCTTCATATTTCATTTAAAGTCTCTTCCATTTTTTTCTTTAAGCATTTTAACCTCAATGTGTCAAACTATACCAGATTTCTTAATTTTTTTTATTGGTCCCATAAGGATAGAAATACAATGTAACAAGGTTTGCCTGTACCATTAAAATGCAGGTCCTCCAAAAAAAATAATAATAATAACCTTTGAGATAAAGTGGTGGCTACATGTACATTCATTTTTTTTTCAATTTTATACAAAAAATCTTAGAGGTTTCTACAAGAATATTATGGTATTTATGGATCAATACCAAGGTTTACCCCCCACCCCACCCCCAGCACCTTATCTCTTCCTTACAAGTGCAACCAACAACCTAAGTCTAATTGAGCATATGAAAAACTTTCATAAAATGAACATTCAATTAAAAATAAACATGCTTGGTAGCATTTGATTCAGCATGCTCAATGGTAACTTAAGATCAGGTAAGACCCCCTTATTATACTCCCTTTTTGATGAAACCAATGCCGTTGCAGAAATTCAAGTTTTCAATCTTAACTATTTCAACTAGAGAATATTAATTATTAATACTTTATGCAATTTTCATCTTTAAAAAAACCTATTTTTCAATTTTGCTGCAGTCTCTTCATTTGATGAACATTGAACAATTTACATATCAAGCAATAAGCAAATTAAGTTGACATCCTTGAAAATTTTTATCGTTTAATTTACTTTTCCCCATGAGAACTACATATACTGCACTAATCTGCAAATCAGAAGGTCCAAGTCCAAAATGATGGTTTGTATACATAGTACAAACTTATGTGAAAATTATTTATATAAATAATCAATAATACTTGCATCTCTTTTACAAAAAGTAAAACAAAAAAGCAATAAAATTTGAATATCAAAATTTTGATTTACAAATAACACATCTGATTTACCATATATGTGTACTACGTAGAGCCACTTCACTTAGCCGTCATTGGACATTTAACTTGGTGTGTCTGAGGCTCAATGAAGGATCTTACACAAAAATCGCTCATTAATGAAAACAAAATTCAGTTCTTTACTCTACTCATAATATTTGAAACCCTGTTTTTGACTGAACTATATTTTTATACAATGACGAATACTTTTAGTATTTTGAAACATAGTAACATTTATTAGAGGAACCTTAAATATTGCCCGCTACCAAATTGTGGTCTGCAAGAAACACGTGGAAATTCTCAGATCCTTTGTATAACGTTTAACCTTTTTAAAATTGATGTGCATTAGATCGCAGGCGTTGTCACACTCAAAATGTATTACTGATACTAGGAGTTATATCGTATTTCTGAGATAAGGCTCATAAATCACAATAAACACAACAAATCGACTTACCAGCTCCTACTTTCACTTTAGCCGAATATCGCATGACAGACCTCAGAAATAAACTACGCTGAGTGATTATAGTTCTTAATTTTCGTGCAATATTTTTCAATATTATATGACATTGTCCTACATTTGTAGGATTAATATGCTTATTTGATAAAAGGTAATTAACAGCCTTACCTGCAAAAGAAATAACAGACGTTAAATTCAGTCGGAACTGCTAAAACTGGGCGCGTATTAATTTATCTGTCCATTGTAAAATCGAAGACGGAGCATACCCTGATATGACGTAAACATCGATGTTACTTTTATAATAAACAATATTAAACATTTAGATCGAAACATTCTAATAGCTGGAGATGTTTAACGAAATATCTCTCTAATTGCTTTGTGTAATCGAGGTACTAGAGACATCAGATTACAGAAATAGTCAGTTGGTTTCAATACCGGAATGGCAGCCCCCCGATTTCGCATGGCGGACATGCTTAGTTGATGAAAAACAGACAGTTATGGAAAAAGTACGCACAGTATTGCTAGGAACGAAACAAATGGTTGTACCCATGACGTTCAACTATCTGCACATATACAACAAATGTCATGTTATTGTTTTGTTAGACCTGTAGCTGTGCAGTCCTGCAAGTGTAATATGCACATTATTGCTGCATGACACTGCAAGTGACAATCAAACTGCATACATATCAAGACAGCTTTCCAATGGAAGGTGTCATAGGTCAGTTTTCAAGAGTAAGCAAGAAGTATTTATTAAAATATTGAGATTTTTATTTCGTACGAGTTTCACTTGGATGAACACAAAACCAAACCCTTAAGTTAATGGATATTGCATGCAAATAGTAGATTAAACGTTCTTTGTTAAAATATTTGCACTTTTTAAACTTTGTTTATGGAAATGCAGCTAACATACGACGTCATGTGACGTCACAGTCTAGACGTTCCAAATGTCTCGTGCGGTTTGAAGAGGCGGATCATAATAATGAAGTGAACACTGCGCTCGTCCCAACGGTCGCACCGTCAACATATTAATCCTAAAAAATGTCGTCTGTATTTATCTAGTCGTTAAATTTTAATATCTGAATGGAAGATTTTTATGAAAGGGCCGCTGGTCCGAAGGAACTGGGGGGTGGAGGGTGTGTTTGTGGGGTGGGGGTCCGATAATTTTATTTGTAGAAACTGGTACTAATTACGGAAGTGCCCACTCAATAGTAGTGTCAAATGCATGCTACACTCCGCTTAAAGTTTTGAAATTTTGTGAAAAAGGACTCCTTTTTTCCAATGTTGGTACATCAGTGGCGGATTCAGGGGGGTTCGGGAACCCCCCCCCCCCGCCCGATCAATTTTTTTTTTTTACAAGTGTCATTTTAACAATATATTGCATAAATGCGACTCTACCCAAGCCCATTGCTTTACACAAAGAGGTGAAATATACAGCCACCATGCGAAATCCCTTTCCGCTTGAGCGCACACAATATCCATACAGGTACATGTAATCAACAGTACTGTACAGAGATCATGATAGTTCCGTGCTGCTAGTGATGACACAACGTCATACACTATAACAACCAAAACTGCATAGTTATTACGGTTTTGTTTTGGTATGGCTAAAGTAATATTGTTTCGAGAATTTTCTTCTTTCTTCGATAAATTGATTGTTACTTTATTGAACTACGTGAATAAACTGTGATTATTATTTAATAGAAAAAAAATTAATTAATACATCAGGGACGCATACTAGTTGTTTACGTTGTGACCTGTACCAAAAAGCACATTGAAAGTATTCCTTTTCTAGATGGGAGTTACAATGCAATTTTAAAAAGCAAAAGATCTGCATCTTTTTTAAAATTACAGTTGAATGATGTTGAATAAAACCCAATTAACGGTTACAACTTTGTATAATGAATTGTGGTAAAACTGATATGTATAAAGTAGAGGGTCCTGTCAAAACAAAAATTGGCCACTTTTTTATTGATTGTTTTTCAAGACTTTTTTTTTTCAAACATTGGGCAGGTAAGTGGGTAAAAAAAAAGTAGAATTAAAGAGTGCATTTATGTTAGAAATTATAATACCCCCTCCCCCCAATGAATAAGCAATAATTCCAATTATTTCCCAAAGTAATTTATATTTATTCTTCAATATGAAATATCATTATTTGTTTATATTGCAAATTATATGAACAGTATAGTCAAGTAGTTGAAAAGAGTAATTAGGGTTTCTACACAGAATTCGAATTTTCTCAAGTTAGTGTTGGAAAATTGCACATCATGCGGTTGTATTTTGGCAGACAAAGCTTCACATGCGACAATGTGTTGGACGTGCATTTTAAAATGAAGAATTGGATATTATATAGCAAATGGGGATATTTCTAATTTTACCAGATTTTACATTTAATTTTTTCTTTAGAAAAGTCTCATTTTCAAGTTAACATGGAAGTTAAAAATAATCCCAAAATTTTAATTTTTTGTTCAATTTCTTTAAAATTTGGGTAGGTCGGTCTTGAAAAACAACTAGAAAAGTGGCCAAAAACTAACTAATTCAATCTAAAATGCTGGAAAATGCACCATTTGGAGCCATTTTTAAAGAAAATTTCTCGGGGGAGGCCCCCCGAACCCCCACCTATGGGGGACACCCCCTCCCATGCCCTCCCCCTTCGACCCTACGGGCCTCAACCCCCCCCCCCCCCACATGGACTTCTGGATCCGCCACTGTACATGTATATAATTCTAATATTCGGCTCTCTCATAACAATTAGCAAGAAATTATCAGTAAATTGCTTTCACACCCAGCTGCATGATTAAACTTCTCAAGACTTGTACCCCCCCCCCCCAAAAAAAAAATCACCGCCTTTTTTGCCATCGATTGATATCGAGAAAGAAATAACTACATGTATATTCAGTACATATACTGAATGCTGTATATAGTAATAATATACATGTATTTCTAAATAATCTAAATATTTAAACACATCTTAAAATTATATCAGATACCTGAAAATGTTTATGAAACAACACAACTTACATTATCCAGGTTTATTCAGATATGATTATACACAGGACTTACACAGTAATAAACTATCTCCCCTGTCTCATATTTTAGCAAGTGCACATTTTTTATAACTCAGTATAGGTTATATTTATTAGTTGTTTTATCGTTCTTTTTTTTCAAATGATAACCTCTTTTTGCATTTTGAAATTTTAATGGGAGAAATGTTTCGCAGAAGGATATGGACATCGATTGAATCATAGAAAATGTTTTTCCCACCGAACTTGAAATTTGAATGGGACGAGTTATTTAGTATTTAATATTAAAACACTTAAGATAACTCTTATGCACATCTTGTAGCTGCACAGCAACATCAGGAGGACAAATAATAAGAGTGTCTTCGTTAAATTCGGGATTCTTCATCGTAAGGCATGCCTTCTTTAAATGATAATGGACATTTTGAGGTGTAAGAGTGAGTTTGGTTATGCCATCATGCGTATAAGCGCGATATTCTTTTCTGCATATTACTACATCATAGGGGGGAGCAGGTACAAATGGCGGTACTCTAATTGCCTTTGAACATCCATAGCATACTCGTATTTTTGTTCCTTTTAAAAATGTCAGAATTTTTTGTTCTCCAAATCGTCAGATGCGGTCACATTGCTTTCCAGTGGACTGTAGCGCGATCTTCGTTTTGTAGATAATACGTCTTCAAATTCATACTGAGTAGTGGATTTTCTCTTTGCCGATCTATCTTTATGTCCCGGTTTCTTTTGAGGTTTTGGTGGCATTTTCTCTTTGCAAATCGTTGAAATGCTTAGTTCTCCGCATTTCTTATACCAACACAAAAATTTATCTAGCGTTCCTTTTTTCTCGGCAGCAGCTACGGCGTGAGAACACATTTGCTTGGCTTTATATCCATCACACGGACATTTCCACTTTTAAATATTTCAACATAGTGAGGAATTTTTTTTGATTTGCTCAAAACAAGCATTGCTGTACTGTCCCCAGGGGCATTTACAATATTACTATCTTTTTCTAAAATTTCCACAGCTTTATCCCATACCCTTTGGTAAACATTTTCAGACAACCCGGTATCTTCAAATTCAATACTCATGCCACCAGATTTGGTTTTGGACCTTGTAGTTCCCGAAGTAGAGGCACCCTCGCTGTCTAAAGAGTGACGTGATGTCTTAAGTGGAGCCTTCAGAAAGTTTTGCAGGTGGGCTTGTCGGGTGCTACTTGATAATTTGAACCAGTCTGTTTGGCATATTTCATACTGTTTATATTCAGGTCTTAATTCATAAGGCCCAACTCCAATTAGGGCTTTTTCAACATCTTTGTCCTGACTGTCAACTAAAGAAAATAGTTTAGAACAAAATTCTCCTAACTGAGATTCTTTGTAGTCTACTTTCTCTTTAAGCTTTTTGTTTATAGATTCGTTGGCATTTGTGGTATACTCAGCAAAACCCAGACCTGCAGATATTCTCAGTGGTAACAGAAGATGTTTTTTAAATGTGTCAGCCTTTTCCTTGAGAAACCATTTGTAAAAAAAGCGGGTCGTTTGTTTTTCGGTCTTCGATTTCTCTTTCATTCCAGATTATTTCATAATTTTTTAACTCTGTGTCAAACTCGGATTCAGAAGTGGCATCAACTAATCCGTATTCTACCAAATATATCCCTGATGTACTCGCCTATGGTGGATTCTGAAACACCCAGTCCTTGGAGTTTTCTGGAAATGTTATTTCGCATATGCCTAAAACACTGAATGTTCAGACTTTGAGGGAAGAAATTTTTCACACCGTTAAAAATGGCCTTTTCATCGTCAGTTCCAATAAAAAGAATTTCGCTAAGACTTGGCCTGAGAGAAGTGCACGTGCTTGCCAGATAGGAATATGACATTGGAAGCTTTTGCTGATGAATGAGGACGGGACCAATCATTGTAGGGGAATTTCCGGTTCGACGATGTCGAAGTTGTAAGTGTTTGTATGTTGCAACTGTTACAAGAAATTGGCCTAAATTAAAAGTAGGGTCAATACCTAATATGGATGTCTCTGCAGGGTTAGTTAAGAACTAATGCATTTCTGATAGCTATCTGTCAGTTACACAAACGCACATGGGCTCGGGTGCAGCTTGAATGGACCTTATAAAAGGATTAGTCATAGACTGTTCCGATTTGCAGTGTTGTATAATTGAAAACATTGGACCCTTTTTCCTGCCTGGACGTTGAGTGCTTAATATTGTAAATCTGCTTTATATTTCTAGGGATGGTA